GAGGCAGAAACACCACGGGCAAAGGCGCGGGCCACCATACCACCCAACGGCAACAAGCCCAACCACACAGTACCACCCAAACATAATTCCAACCCACGCAACAGTGCGGGCATGGGCCATGAGACTGACCCCATGTCGCCAGGCGCGCAGTGAGGAGCATGGAAGCGCCGTAGACCAGCAGGTCCGCGCCCACCAGCAGCCCCGCCACGCGCATGGCAGCCGCCCTTGGCAGCGCGAGGAAAGTGAAGCCGAGGGCGACTGAGAGGATGCCCGAGAGCAGCACCATGGGCCAGGAGGCGATGCTGCGCAGCGACACTCCCAATTCGGCCTTGAACACACCCTGGGGGGGAAGGGAGAGGGGGGATGGGTGGGTGGGAGGGTAGTAGGGGAGGGAAGGCACGAGAAGAGGCAGTGTTAGTGCTGAACAGTGGCGCACTACTCAGAGGTTCGCATGCTGAGTAGGGATGGGGTGAGTGAGGCACTGTGCGAACGAGCCAAGTGTGTCAGTGAGCTAACGGCGAGCACTGGCTACTACGGTGGCGACGGGTGGGGAACCAGCCAGTGAGCAAGAAGGCATTGCTGCTGTGTAGGGGACACACTGACTGCTGAGTACTGGTGCATGGAGTTAATCAGAGGGCTCTGGTTCCGGAATGAATCACTTGTGCTGTGGCCGCGCAGAAGAGAAGGAACTCAGCAAGCGAGGTGGAGTGGCAGCGAGCCAAGTAAGTCATTTAGCAAGCTAAAAGTGAGCACAGGCCGCTTGAGTGGCAACGGGAGGTGGGTGGGGTCACCTGGGCGACGAACCAGGCACTGAGGATGAGCTACAGCGGGGTGTGGGGGGAGTCAAAGCCTGTGCCGGTGACAAGCGCGAAGCCAATGGCGAAGTGGACGAGGCAACAGCAGGGCAATGGTGCCGGGCGTACCGCAGAGGAAGAGGAAGTGCAGAAAGGTCAGCACCCCGCCCAGCAGCAGCACCCACCCTGGGAGCACCAGGGACGAAGGACAAGGGGCCCGGTGAGTACTGCAGGTGGGGTAAAGGAGCATGAAGGATGAAATAGAGGGGGGTTAGACAGTGGTTGGAAGGAGGGACTGGGAGAAAGGCGAGGAGATGCGCAAGTGAGGCAGGAGAGGAGGCGTGGAGGTGTCAGGTCAGCAGGAAAGACGTTAGACAAGTAGGGAGGAAGGTAACCCAAGAAAGGCAGGATCAAGTAGGTCGCAAGACAGGAGGGGGAAAATACCAACCAACCCAAGCCCAACCAGCGTAGGGGGCTGTGATGGCCACAAGGAGGGGTGTGAGAGGGAGGTGGGGGAGAGCGGAAGAGGTGCGGGATGGGAGGGCATACCGAGCACGGGAGGGTACAGGATGGCCACTGTGCCGGCCACCACCAACACTGCGAGCGAGCGGGAAGAGACGGGGGTGGGAGGGAGGGGGGGGGCGTGGGGGTGGGGAGACAGAGGGAGGGCGGGTTGAGTGATTGGAGAGGAAGAGGAAGGTGGGTTGAGAAAGAGGACGGACAGGCCTTCTTTGAGAAGGACCTGGAAGCTGGAAGGAGGAAGGCGGAGGATGAGGGAGACTGAGGTAGGAGCGTTGAGGACGGTAAGGCAGCAGCTCGGCTTGCATCCGACCCGAGCAGAGTTGAGTTGGAACCGTGGAAGGAGCACGCACGGGGGAGAAGAAGACGACATCCATGCCATGGATGGCGCGGCGCCCTAGACGACAAAGCTCCAGGCTAAACGAGAAAGGGCTGCTTGCTTTACTGTAGAAAAACGGGGGAAAAAAGGAAAAACTGGGGCAATCCGAGCACCCAATATGTTTCAGGATGTCACATGCACGGTGGGCATACGATTACAGGTAGAGGCAGACATACAAGGCATGCATACGCGTACATGCATACAACAATACCATACAAGTCGTGCAAACTCGTACATACATGCGTATACCAATAAGGGGAGCCGTGTGCTGATGGTAAAACTTAAGTGCTCTTTTGCTAACGTCTCCCACCCTATTCCGTCTAGAACGCATAGAACCGCACATAACCGCACAGCACCCCATACATGGGCTGAGCGGCGAATTCACGCGCGCCATAGAGCGAGTTGAACCTCACCCCGTACCCGCACTCAGGCGCGCCATAGAGCGAGTTGTAGACGGTGAGACGCTCGAGGTGCTCCATGGAGATCTGGCCGGCCAGCGGCCGCACGGGAATCACGAAGTGGAACGCGCCCTCCGCACCGCTGCGCATCGCCGGCGCCATGCCGCGCTCGCTGATCCCGACGCTGCCGCCATCGCCGCCTACCGAGTCGGAAGCTTATATCGCGTCAGCGCGGAACTAAGGAGTTACTGTTACAAGGCGAAAGCGAACTCACCCTAAAGTTCGCCAACTCAGCGAACTGTAGATTTCGAGGTTGGATTTGTCCAACCAAAATTGTGTGCCTCGAACTGAACAAGTCCGCAACCCCAAAATTGTACAGCTGCCTGTGAGTCACAGCACGACTCTAGAGCAGATTCCGAGAGCTAGCAAAGCGTGGAAAGCGCCAGCGCAACCTAGATACTAACTACTGCAGCTACTACAAGTGCCAGCAAAGACTACAATCGACATCTACAAGGTGACGAAGACGCCAGCACTACTTGGAAAATGAAAACTACTTGTATAGTTAATTCCTATTCTTGTTTAGCTATTTCCTAGGAGAGACAACAAGGCAAGGCTACTTGTAAATAATCATCAGCTTGCTTGCTTGTCTCCAGCTAGGATAGAAATGCCAAGGCGCCACGGGCGACCTTATCTAGGCGCCTTTAGGAGTATCAAGATGCCAAGAAAAGATTTCCTAGTATAAGTGTGCTCTCTTCTTTTTTGGAAGCTATCATATGATCTAGTGATTAAGCTAGCACTCTTTCTTCAAGGATCTCTCAATCTCTACTCCTACTAACAGCCCCAGAGCTGTTATATTTGGTCTCAGAGCCACGTTCCTGCATTTTTTTTTCTAGAACGTCATGACGTCCGAGCAACCCCCTTCTCCTGACGATTGGACGACTTTTCTAGAGAATTACCGCGCCCAAATCGTTTCTGAAATTCGTGAGAGCTTGCGAGCTGAGTTGCAAGCTAGTATGGTTGCAGCCGGTGCGGTAGCAGCGAATCCTCCTTCTGCTACGCCTTCTGGAGATAATCAGCGCGCTAGACCGGCGATTCCCGATTTCTTCATCCCAGGCAAAAGTCAACCCGTTGTTAGTCGTTGGCTCTTTTTAGTGGAGCAGTACTTGACGCTGAGCCACGTTGCACCTTCTGAGTGGAGCGCCTTTGCCGGCACGTTACTCCGCGGCTCCGCAGTTGCTTGGTGGCAAGCTGCACACACCTCCATCACATCGTGGCAGCACTTCACGCAGGCGTTCACGATCGCCTTCCAACCGGTGAATCCGAGCATCAAGGCGCGTGATCGACTTGCGGCTCTCAAGCAGCTGAAATCCGTTCAAGAGTACGCTGCCAACTTCCGCGACATCGCCCAAGAAATCCCCGACCTCTCCGACGCTGAACGCATGGACCGCTTCAAGCGTGGGTTGAAGCAGAACGTGCGTATGGAGGTTGAGTTGAGGGACTGCACGACGCTTGAGGAAATGATAAGAGTCGCTGAACGGTATGACTCAATTCAATTTGCCTACAAAGCAAGGTTTCCTCGCGCCCCGTTGCTCCCTTTTGCTCCCTCCTATCAGCCCTCTGCTTCAACAGGCTACGCTCAGCAAGAACCTGCTCCGATGGACCTGGATGTGATGGAGAAGAAGCGGAATCAGAACCCCTCCGTCGTCTGCTTCAAGTGCGGCAAGAAAGGTCACATCTGGCGATTCTGCCGAAGTCCTCCAAATCCAAAACCACTACTTCCTAACCCTAGAAAAGGTGGTCACCAGTAAGTGCGGGGCGACTTTCTGGTGCAACCCCTAGTCCCATGATCGCTTCCCTTGAAAACCCTCCTCCCTCTAAACCCCTTTACCTCTCTATGACCATTCGAGACCGAATCGTTAAAGCCTTGATTGACAGTGGTGCCTCCTCTAATTTCATCTCCTCCTCACTGATCTCTGAATTATCCCTTCCTCTCCAACCAGACATAAAACCTCAGACAGTCTTACTTGCCGACGGGTCATCCCTCTCGTGTGGCCCCGTTCCTTACCCTGTCAACTGCACCATCGGATCTTACAAGGACAAGCTCTGCTTTCAGCAAGCTCCTTTGAAAGGTCACGATGTCATTCTTGGGAGAAACTGGCTTTCTGCCAAGAACCCGTCCATTGACTGGACCCATGACCATGTCACCATCACGCATAATGGCACAGACATCACCCTACCTCAATTCCCTTCTTCCCCTTCCTTACCTACGTGCAACCTTCTTTCTGCAAGACAGATAAAGAAATCCCTTAAAGACCCCACCGCACAATTTTTCCTCTGCTATCTTCACCAAATTTCTCAAGCCTCATCTATCCCTCCATCTCCTCCTGTGTCTAATGACCCTCCTGAAATTCAGAAACTTCTTTCTGAATTTAAGGATGTCTTTCCCTCAGACCTCCCTCCAGGACTACCACCCAAACGAGCCGTTGACCACAGAATCTGCCCACAGCCTGGATCTGAGCCTACTGTGCGTGCTACATATCGGATGAGCACGGTGGAGTTGCAAGAAGTCCAGAAGCAACTTGAGGAGCTCCTGGACAAAGGCTTCATCCGCGTAAGCTCATCGCCCTATGCAGCACCAATCCTCTTTGTAAAAAAGAAGGATGGTAGCATGCGCATGTGTATCGACTACCGTGCACTCAACAAAATCACCATCAAGAACCGCTATCCCCTTCCTCGCGTTGAGGAGCTTTTCGACCAGTTGGGTGAGGCCAAAATCTTTTCTAAGCTGGATCTTCGCAGCGGCTATCACCAAGTACGTGTCGCTGATGAAGATATTGAGAAAACTGCATTTCGAACTCGGTATGGGCACTTTGAATTTCTTGTCCTTCCCTTTGGACTAACAAATGCCCCAGCCACTTTCATGTGTATGATGAATGATATCTTCCGTGATTTCTTAGACCGATTTGTCATTATCTTTATTGATGACATTTTGATCTATAGCAAATCATTGGATGAGCATGTTCATCATATAAGACAGGTGCTGACTCGTCTACGCCAGCACCGCCTTTTCGTCAAACAAAGCAAATGTGAGTTTGCTCGGTCCTCAATTCCTTTCTTGGGCCATATTATCTCACACAATCAATTGTCCATGGACCCTTCTAAGGTAAAAGCAGTCCTAGATTGGAAGCCTCCAACTTCCATCAAAGAACTGCAAGCCTTTCTTGGCCTCGCCAACTATTATCGAAAGTTCATTCAACACTTTGCTGCTATCACTTCCCCCCTCTCTAACCTACTGCGTAAGACAGAAGGATTCCACTGGGGACCAGATGAAAACAAAGCCTTTGAATCCATCAAACAAGCCTTAACCTCTTCTCCTACTCTAGCCCTTCCCAACCCTTCCCTTCCCTATACCATATGGACAGATGCCTCCAGTATTGCAACGGGTGCAATCCTTTGTCAAGATCAGGGACATGGCCTTCAACCCCTTGCTTTCGACTCTCGAAAGTTCAAACCTGCTGAGTGCAACTATGCCACTCATGACCGTGAGATGTTGGCCATTGTCCATGCCATAAAAAAGTGGCGTTGCTATGTCCATATGCAACCCGTCACTGTCCTTACTGACCATTGCACCCTTCAACACTTCAAGACCCAACCTCACCTTACCCCCAGACAGGCTCGTTGGATGGAATACTTGGAACAGTATGTGCCTGAGCTGAAGATTGAGTACCGTGCTGGTCGCCTCAATCTTGCTGACTCATTGACTCGACCTCCACCCTCTCAGCTTTCAGCCATTGGCACAGTGACGTGGGATGAGAACTTCATCAGCAAGTTCACCAAGGGATATCGGCGTGACTCATTTTACCTCTCCTCTGCCCCTACCCATAAGTCTGTCTATTATGAATCCCCTTTCTGGTACAAGACAGACTCTCACGCCATCTGTGTCCCAGTAAACCGAAAGCTGCGTCACCTCTTGCTTCGCGAGCATCATGATCAGAAGGCACACTTTGGAGTTGACAAAACGCTTGCGGCCATCTCTGCTAATTTCTTCTGGCCCAGGCTCTCTCGTGACGTTCGCTCCTACGTGCGCTCCTGCCATATCTGTCAGTGTAACAAGGTCTCTTATGGTCTCTTACATCCCCTGGACATTCCTGAGCTCCCTTGGAGTCATGTCACTCTTGACTTCATCACTGATCTCCCCCCTACTGCCTCTCATCATAATGCCATTCTCACTGTCGTTGACAAGCTCTCTAAAATGGCGCATTTCATTCCCACATCCACCACAGCTACTGCACAACATACTGCTGAGCTTTTCTTCAAAGAGGTGGTACGTCTTCATGGCATCCCCTCTGTTCTAATCTCTGATCGTGATTCTCGTTTCCTTAGCCGATTCTGGCAAACCCTCTTCAACAGGCTCGGGACCAAGATTCGCCTCTCAACTGCTTATCACCCCTAGTCAGATGGGCAGACTGAAAGGATGAATCGAACGCTCGAACATGGTCTGCGAGCCTGCGTCAACGCGTGCCAGAACGATTGGGATCTCCACCTGCCTGACATCGAGTTCTCCTACAACAACACAGTGAACCTCGCCACTGGACAAACCCCCTTCTACCTTGCTACTGGACAGAACCCTCGCACTCCCTCTTCACTCGTACACAGCCCCACTCGAGATACTGCAGCAACTGCTTTCCTCAGCAGCAAGAATACAATCATTGCAACAGCACGTGCATCTCTTCTTCGAGCACAGCAGCGTATGATCCACTATGCTGACCAGCATCGGCGTGACATCCATTTCAAAGAAGGTGACCAAGTTCTCCTCTCAACGGCCAATCTCCCTCTACTGCAAGAAGGCTTCACTCGTAAACTGGCTCCTCGCTTCATTGGACCCTTCACTATCACCCAAGTACTCTCTCCTCTCACCTACCGCCTTCAGCTCCCCTCCCACATCAACATCCATCCTGTCTTCCACGTTCAACTTCTACGCCCTTACCATCAACCCCCTTCTCACTTTCCCTCATCTTCTAGGCCTCCTCCTCCTCCTATGTTCACTCCAAGTCCTGACCTTTCTGAAGTTCAGATCATCCTTGCTCATGAAGACACCTGCAATGGCACCTACTACCTTGTGAAATGGCGTGGGCAAGATGAGTCCCACAACCTTTGGATTCATGAGAGTGGTTTGCAGTACGCACAGCGAGCCCTTACTAAGTATCTTGCTTCTAGGGCAGCACCGAGGACGGTGCTCACTGGGGAGGGGAGTAATGTTACAAGGCGAAAGCGAACTCACCCAAAAGTTCGCCAACTCAGCGAACTGTAGATTTCGAGGTTGGATTTGTCCAACCAAAATTGTGCGCCTCGAACTGAACAAGTCCGCAACCCCAAAATTGTACAGCTGCCTGTGAGTCACAGCACGACTCTAGAGCAGATTCCGAGAGCTAGCAAAGCGTGGAAAGCGCCAGCGCAACCTAGATACTAACTACTGCAGCTACTACAAGTGCCAGCAAAGACTACAATCGACATCTACAAGGTGACGAAGACGCCAGCACTACTTGGAAAATGAAAACTACTTGTATAGTTAATTCCTATTCTTGTTTAGCTATTTCCTAGGAGAGACAACAAGGCAAGGCTACTTGTAAATAATCATGAGCTTGCTTGCTTGTCTCCAGCTAGGATAGAAATGCCAAGGCGCCACGGGCGACCTTATCTAGGCGCCTTTAGGAGTATCAAGATGCCAAGAAAAGATTTCCTAGTATAAGTGTGCTCTCTTCTTTTTTGGAAGCTATCATATGATCTAGTGATTAAGCTAGCACTCTTTCTTCAAGGATCTCTCAATCTCTACTCCTACTAACAGCCCCAGAGCTGTTATAGTTACTAAGCCGGGAGATTGTCTATGTTTCGATCGCGTAACCTTAAACGGCAGCATTCGCGGCGCGAATTTGCGCTTTGATCACCGGCGAAGCTTGCTTGCAAAGAGCAGCCGCCACTCGACGAGCGAGATCGCAGGCCCTTCCAACGCCCAGATGCGACTAGCGCCAGGCTGGCCACAATTCGCAGCCTCCTGCCGCTGAGCCGGGCTGGCTGGTGGGGGGAGTCAATCTCGCGTCCCGCAGCTCCTGAAGGAATGAGCGACTCAAACGACTGGTAGCAGCTCCTGAAGGAATGAGCGACTCAAACGACTGGTGCCTAGGCACCATGGCATAATGCTGTGCGTGTGAAATGTGGAGGGCTTTGCCACGCATATCGAGTGAACTTCACTCTGTTCTACCATATTGCGAGAGGTATCTTACCGATTCGTCGCTTGCTTTATAAGGCGGTGAAGAAAGGCAGAAGTGCTATCTTAAAGCGAGAATGGAGAGTAGTGAAGGCGGGCCCAACTTGAAAGTGGGGTTGTGTGGGATTTTTTCGAAGGGACCAAGCCTTGTAGCGAGGGGGTTCAGTGTCACTGTTCCTTATTACCCCCGGGTAGGAGGGACAACAGCCGCGCAGGACAGTGATTGGTGTGCGGGAACAAAAACTGCAGCATCCAACCAGAAACACGGGTAAAGAATCCTCGTAGATAGGCGCGGCGGCGAAAGCATCGCTTGAGGCGAGGAGCATTCACCTGCGATGGTAGGGCAGCCCGCATGTCTGTGCCTGTTTCAATTGGGTCCAACTCGATTTTCAAGTTGGACCTAGGCTCACAACTCGACGGTCAAAGGGCTGAGGGCACGCCACTCCACGCAGAGCACCCTAGCGTAGAATGCGCTTCATCCCCCTCGTCGTAACTCGTGGTTGCAGCTTGCGCTGGTTGTGTCGCGGCCCGACTCCCCGAGCCAGCCCTAGAGTAAGTAGGCAAACTGGAAATATAGAATAGGACCAGATACGGCGCCACATTTTCCCGGGCGGCAACCAGGCACGAAAGCCGTACCCCTCGCAAACGGCTATTTGCGCCAATGCGTAAGGCAGGCGAAACTGAGAGTAGGCGCGTTGCATATGGCGGGTGTTGCCAAGCACTCCAACGCGAGCAGCCCTAGGTCGAGCTCCCCGGCGTGCAGGCTAGAACGGAGCTCGTTTTCCCTAGCAGGCAAACACCGAGCTTGCGGGCACGAGCCGTCTGACGTTAGACCACGCGGCCATGCGAGCAGCGTAGCGCCGAGCGAGGCGTCGGGTAGCATAGCGCCGAGCGCGGCGGCGACCAGCTTTCCCTGCCGCGCGGCGGCGAGCAGCTAAGCGCCGAGCGCGGCGTCGAGCAGCTTAGCTCCGAGCGCGACGGCGAGCAGCTTCGTGCCGGACGCGGCGGCGAGCAGCTCAGCGCCGAGCGCGGCGGCGAGTGGCTCAGCGTCGAGCGCACATCCGAGTGGCTCAGCGCTGAGCGCGGCTGCGAGCGGCTCAGTGCCGAGCGCGGCGGCGAGCGTCTCAGCGCCGAGAGCGGCGGCGAGCGGCTCAGCACCGAGGGCGGCGGCAAGCGGGTCAGCACCGAGCGCGGCGGCGACGGGCTGAGTGCCGAGCTCGACGGCGAGCGGCTCAGCGCCGAGCGCGGCGGCGAGCGTCTCAGTGCCGAGCGTGGCGGCGAGCGGTTCCGCGCCGAGCGCGGCGGGGAGCAGCTTTGCGCCGAGCGCGGAGGCGAGCAGCGTTGCGGCGATCGCGGCGGCAAGCGGCGTTGCGCCGAGCGCGGCTGCGAGCGGCTGAGCGACATGTGCGGCGGCGATCGGCTTGGCGATGGGAGAGAAGGGGGGCCTAAGAGATAAGGGGAGAGGTAGAGAAGGGGAGCAGGAGAGGATGGTAGCGCGAGAGAAGGGGAGCGAAAGAGAAGGGGACGGGGAGAGAAGGGGAGCGGGAGAGAAGGGGCGGCAAGCGGCGGAGAGGGAGAGCGGGAGAGAAGGGGAGCGGGAGATAAGGGGAGCCGAAGAGATAAGGGGAGAGGCAGAGAAGGGGAGCAGGAGAGAGTGGGAGAGAGAGAGAAGGGAAGAGAGAGAAAAGGGCAGCGGGAGAGAAGGCCAGCGGGAGAGAAGGGCAGCGGGAGAGAAGGGGAGCGGGAGAGAAGGGGAGCGGGAGAGGATGGGAGCAGGAGAGAATGGGAGAGAGAGAGAAGGGAAGAGAGAGAGAAAAGGGCAGCGGGAGAAAAGCGGAGTGGGAGAGAAGGGGAGCGGGAGAGAAGAGGAGCGGGAGATAAGGGAGCCTAAGAAATAAGGGGAGAGGCAGAGAAGGGGAGCAGGAGAGAATGGGAGCGAGAGAGAAGGGAAGAGAGAGAGAGAAGGGCAGCGGGAGAGAAGGGGAGCGGGAGATAAGGGAGCCTAAGAGATGAGGGGAGAGGCAGAGAAGGGGAGCAGGAGAGAATGGGAGTGAGAGAGAAGGGGAGCAGGAGAGAAGGGGAGAGAGAGAAGGAAGGGAAGAGAGAGAGAGAAGGGAAGCGGGAGAGAAGGGGAGCGGGAGAGAAGGGGAGCTGGAGATAAGGGGAGCCTAAGAGATAAGGGGAGAGGCAGAGAAGGGGAGCTAGAGAGAATGGGAGCGAGACAGAAGGGGAGAGAGAGAGAAGGGCAGCGGGAGAGAAGGGGAGCGGGAGAGAAGGGGAGCTGGAGAGAAGGGGAGCCTAAGAGATGAGGGGAGAGGCAGAGAAGGGGAGCAGGAGAGGATGGGAGCGAGAGAGAAGGGGAGAGAGAGAGAGAAGGGCAGCGGGAGAGAAGGGGAGCGGGAGAGAAGGGAGCCTAAGAGATGAGGGGAGAGGCAGAGAAGGGGAGCTGGAGAGAATGGGAGCGAGAGAGAAGGGAAGAGAGAGAAGAAGGGAAGCGGTTGAGAAGGGGAGCGGGAGAGAAGGGGAGCCTAAGAAATGAGGGGACAGGCTGAGAAGGGGAGCTGGAGAGGATGGGAGCGAAAGAGAAGGGAAGAGAGAGAGAGAAGGAAAGCGGGAGAGAAGGGGAGCGGGAGAGAAGGGAAGCGGGAGAGAAGGGGAGCGGGAGATATGGGAGCCTAAGAGATGAGGGGAGAGGCAGAGAAGGGGAGCTGGAGAGGGTGGGAGCGAGAGAGAAGGGGAGAGAGAGTGAAGGGCAGCGGGAGAGAAGGGGAGCGGGAGAGAAGGGAGCCTAAGAGATGAGGGGAGAGGCAGAGAAGGGGAGCAGGAGAGAATGGGAGTGAGAGAGAAGGGGAGAGAGAGTGAGAGAATGGCAGCGGGAGAGAAGGGGAGAGAGAGAGAGAAGGGAAGAGAGAGAGAGAAGGGGAGCGGGAGAGAAGGGGAGCTGGAGATAAGGGGAGCTGGAGATAAGGGGAGCCTAAGAGATGAGGGGAGAGGCAGAGAAGGGGAGCTGGAGAGAATGGGAGCGAGAGAGAAGGGGAGAGAGAGTGAGAGAAGGGCAGCGGGAGAGAAGGGGAGAGAGAGAGAAGGGAAGAGAGAGAGAGAAGGGAAGTGGGAGAGGATGGGAGCGGGAGAGAAGGGGAGCCTAAGAGATGAGGGGACAGGCAGAGAATGGGAGCTGGAGAGGATGGGAGCGAAAGAGAAGGGGAGCGAGAGAGAAGGGCAGCGGGAGAGAAGGGGAGCGGGATAGAAGGGGAGCCTAAGAGATGAGGGGAGAGGCAGAGAAGGGGAGCAGGAGAGAATGGGAGCGAGAGAGAAGGGAAGAGAGAGAGAGAAGGGAAGCGGGAGAGAAGGGGAGCGGGAGAGAAGGGGAGCTGGAGATAAGGGTAGCCTAAGAGATAAGGGGAGAGGCAGAGAAGGGGAGCTGGAGAGAATGGCAGGAGGAGAGGTTGTGAGCGAAAGAGAAGGGGAGGGGGAGATATAATGAAGGCGGGTCCAACTTGAAAGGGCCCAGAAGTTCGGTGTCACGACTAAGGGACAAACTGGTTGGGGCAGAGGGGTTCACTGTCCCGACATGCGAGCAGGGGAAACTGCGCGAGCATGTGCAGTTACTTGATTTGTTGGCGGGAAATCCCGTTTCGTTTGGTGGGGAACGTGGCATGAGCAGCACTTGGCGCGAACAAACTCAAGTCGCAAACAGCGCGCGACCAGTCGCACAGTCCCCACTGCCCGCAAGTTGAACCAAGTGGACCCAAATTGAATTTCAAGTTGGACCCGGGTTCACTACTCCTGCTAAACCAATGCTGGTTACGGATTGGTTGAAATTATTTTCTGCGCATGACAGTGGTCGTAGGATGTGTGACGATAACATACCCGTCGCAGGTGCAATTCGATTTCGTGGCCCAAGTCATGCAAAAAAATCCGCGCTGCTGCCCAGCACGAAGCAAAATATTGTGCAGTTGAGTCATTTCTAGTTGGGCCCAAGAAGAAAGAGGGGTCACTACTATAACCTCTGGCCTGGTTTGTTAGGACTTCACCTGTTTTGCGCTGTCCTTTGCCATGGTTGTGCAACATCCATCCTTATAGAATGGTCCAATCAATAAGGGGGCCAGGGGAGAAGGGG